AAAATGACTTGCCACCTGCTTTATTCCACATATGGTGAGCAGAACTAGACAAATATCCTAATTTGGAAAAATGTCTATTGCAAAGATTCCTTGTTTAGAAAACAATTCATATCGAGTGCTAAATAAAGAATCATTATTTCAACTCTCAGAATTTACCCCAAGGAAAGAAGGACAAAACTTTACGCTTAATGAGGGAAACTGCAAGATTTTTTTTAAAAGAGCAGAAATTCCAGCCATATGCAAAGGTTCCACAGTGGGGTAATCAAGTACAACTGAGACTATACATTCGATAAAATAAATGTTCAATACTATATATTTTTTAATGCTTAGGAATGAGGCAGAACTAGGTAATAAAGGTACATACCAGGGCAGAGAATGAATGTGGACAAGAAAGGTATTGGGGGGATCGATAATATGGGTAAATTATTCAATTAATTAATTTGTTTTAATTAGGTATATATGACAGCAGAATGCATTTTAATTCATTGTACACAACTGCTGCACACCTCTTCATTTCTCTGATTGTATTTGGGTATTTAAATTCTTTAAAAAAATAATTAGAGATCGTACTTCCTATTGCCTCAAAGCCCCTCTCCACATTTCCATGTGCCTTACACACCCTAATTACCCAAAATGAGCCAACGTTAAAACAAGAAAACTAAATCTTTTTCATCAATATACAATATCGGGGGTAAAACATTTTAAAGTAGAACAGTAGCTTAGAAAGCACATCTCGGCGCTCCCTCAACCTCTGCGGGGTTGAGTATGGAGTGGAATAAAACCACTCTTGTAGGTAAACGTCCACAACTAGCAACACCAAGCAAATTAAAACTCAGGGCTGAGCCACATTAGGGATGGGAGATGAGATCCCTTGCTGGCTCGGTACCTGCTTTCTGAAGGGCTCTGCCGCAGGTCCCACAATCAGGAATTGCCTCCCACAGGTCGCCTAGAGGGGGCGGGGGACCCCGGGACTACGCGGTAGGTCCCGGTCCCCGCCAGCCCACTCGAGAAGGAAGGAGGGAGAGAGTGAGGGGATCCTTGAGGGCGCGACGCTGGAGTCTCCCTCGGTACCGCAGCCTCCCCTGCAGGACCCGGACCCTTCCAGCCGCTGTGCACCCAGCCCCGTGCACCGGCCGGTAACGCCAGAGCCCGCCAATCCGCACCGCCGCTCGCCGCTGGCTCCCGCCCGCTTACCAACCCCCGACTCCAGCCCCGACCCCAACTCACCCTCTGCTGTGGAAAGAAGAAGAAATAGCGGCTCTCCCGGGGCGGCGTCTCTAGGAGCAAAACCGCGGATCCCGGCTCAAATACCCCAACCGCAGCGCCTGAGAGGCCAGGATGGCGCGGGGCGGGGCCGGAGGACGCACGTGGCTTGGGCTTGGGGCGTGGCCTACCCCAGAGGGAGGAGCGGATCTTAGGGTCATAGGGGTGGGACCAGGGGGCGAGGATCAAGAACTACGACCTGGAGCTGGGACCAATGAGATGGCTGGCTTGATTTTGTGGGCGTGGCCCTCCCAAGGGAGAAGAGGCAGTGGGCGTGGCCAGAGTGGAGGGGCGTGGCGGAAGACAGGGCTATGCCTGTTTGTCCCTGGGAGTTTCTCAAGGATTATGTGGGAAGTGAGAGTGAGGCTTGGAGTTATAGGTGTCTGAGTTCAAGTCTTTACTGGCCTGCAACCTCACGCAGGCCACTTCATCTCTCTGACCCTCAGTTTCCTTCTGTGAAAAGCAGATGATCACAGGGCTAGGGATATAACTGAGTCGGTAGAGTGCTTGCCTTGCATGTGCAACGCCCTGGGATCAATCCCCAGCACTACCAAAAAATAAATAAATAAAAAGAAAGAGAAAGAAAAAACAGATGATCTTATGATCTCATTTCATGGGATTGTTTAGAGGAATGAGATACTCGCAGAGCTCTCAGCAAGGTTCCTGGCATATCATCAATGCTAAGTTATTATCATTATTATTATTTGCTTTGCTGCCCTTTTCTTATTATTAAGAATCCATTGGGAATCCATTGGTTCAATTCTTTATAACTTAAGTATGTTTATTCTTTATCATATGTATATAAAAGAATCATAACAAATATATACATAGCACTTACCAAGTGTCAGACCAGGTCCTCTTTAAAGGTTTTGCATATATTTGCAGCAATTTCTTCAATCCTTACAAGAGTATGAAGTAGGTATTATTATTTTGTGATTTTAATAGTTCTGGTAACTGAGGCACTGACATTATTTACTTTTCCAATAACAGAATAATGGATGAATTTTAACTTGGGAGGCCCTATAAAACTTCTGCATGTAGCTAATCCCCACACCACACTACCTCTCCAATTCTACTTTAAAGTTTTCACAACAGTACGGCATGAAATCATTGATTGGAGGTTGTACAGGGAACTGGTCTTTATAATCCAATATCTTATTTTACAGACAAAGGATACAAGCATCTCAAATTACGGATTATAAATTCCGTGACAATTCATGGAATGTAGTTGTTTGAGATGTTTCCTTTGTCTGACAGTTTACTGAGACATGCCTCTTTGCAAGGTCTGTGAGCCCACTGATATATCTTCATGACAAAGCTGATTCTCTTTCAGAGAACCTTTGGAGGGCTTTCTTCTTTTCTGTGTTCTGACAGAATTCTCTACACAGCCCTACCATCTGCAACAGATGGTATTGACTCCACCCCCGCATGTTGACCTGTGGTCAGAACTGGCCAGAGAAAGTCTTCGTTCTGCTCGCTCTCTCTCTCTCTCTCTCTCTCTCTCTCTCTCTCTCTCTCTCTCTCTCTCTCTCTCCTGTTGGGTCTGCTGCTGTTGCCACCATTGTTGCTGTTCTGCCAGGAGGAAAACTACCCAAAGAAGGTAGGAAATCAGAGGATATAGACCAGGACCAATGAGTTTCAGCTGAATCCTGAAGTCAGTCAGTCCCTGGACTATTTAGTGATGGAATCCACCAAATCCCTCCCTTGCCTCCTCTGAAAGCAGTGTAGATTGGGTTTCTGACATTTACAGAGTCTTTTTGTTGTTCTTTCTTTGCTGACTCCAGTGCTTGTCCTGCATCTTCCATTAACTCTGACTTCAACTTTATATCTCAGCCGACTATCACTGCCAAGCCTTCTTTAAACCCACCCCTCACCAAATAAAACTATTTCTTCCTTGAACTTATCACAGTTACTAATTAAGCATTTACACTTTGAGTATCCCTTATCAGAAATGTTTGGGACCAGAAGTGTTTTGGATTTCTGATTTTTTCTTGGATTTTGGAATATTCACATGTATATAATGAAATATCTTGGGTATGGGACCAACTATAAACATGAAATATGTTTGTTCCACATACACCTTATACACATATCCTGAAGATAATTTTACAAAACATTGTAAATATTTTTTGTACCAGGGATTAAACCCAGGGGTGCTTTACTATTGAGCCACATCCCCAGCCTTTTTATGTTTTGTTTTGAGATAGGGTCTCCCTAAGTTGTCTAGGATTTTGCTAACATTTTAAACAATTCTGTGCATAAAGCAAAGTATCATTCCTAAAGATAATGGGGACAGTAAAACACCATGTTACTGAATATCTTCTCTCTGTTCCCCAAACCCTAGCCAAGTTAAGGGAATGATGAACGCAAGCCTGGGCAGTAGACAGGTTATCTTGAAGGAAATTGGCTTTGTCTTGTGAACACGGGCAACTGGGGCAAGTTACTGTTATCTGTCAAAAGATATTTCTTGCATACATTCCAGAACAGTTGCTACTTGGACTGCTGCTCATACAGGTAAACAAAGCAAGCTAATTCTTGTGTCACTGATTCTACAGCCTAACATATAAAACTTCTCTCTCAGTGGGGACTGGTACAGAACTGAAGTCACTGTGGAAAGTGTGTCGCTCGTCCAGCCAGTTTCCACTGGACAAAATGCTGTGAGGGAGAGGAGGCGCTACTTGGTGAAGCACCTTGAGGGATGGAGGTGCTGTTGGTCTGTCACCCCTGAACTCTTCTTGGAGCAGTTACTGATCTCTTGCAAGCTTTTGTCCATAAACCATGTCTCCCATGCCATTTATGGGCACTTTCTTTGTCTTTCCTGCAACCTACTCCACTGCCCTTGCACAACTGGGCTGTGGATGAGACACAGATGTGGAATTTTCCACTCATGGCATTATGTCAGTGGCAAAACATTTCAGGTTTGGGAGCAATTTGGGTTTCAGATTTTTGAATTAGGAATGTTCAACCCATATTTGGGCGATGATTTGGTAAATATCCCTAACCCAATCCTTAAAGACTAAGCACCACAATGGCAAGCTTTTTGTTTCACTTGCTGTTTGATGGTACCTAGCAATGTGCCTGGAATAAGTATGGTACTCAGGAAATGTCTGTTAAGTGAGTGCTTGCCGCAGTCTGGCTGGGCACAATTCAGGAGCCACTTATCAAGCACAAACGAACTTTATTTTTAGAACACACATGACCACCACAGGAGCTCTTCAGGAATTCCCTCAGAGCCCAACTGCCACCAACGGCTTCCCACAAGTCTCTCAACGCCCCCCCCCCCACACTCCTCCTGCTCTTGAGGCCGATTGGCTGGGTCGCATGGGAGGAGCCAAAAGAGTCCCCCAGTGAGCAGGTCCATGGTCTGAAAGGGTGGGGAAACAGCCCAATGAGCATCACCACAGAGGAGCCAATCAGCTGGCAGCTGGAAGTTTGCTGGGGTCGCTGTGAGCCAATCATCAGCTGGCAGCTGAAAGTTTGCTGGGGCCCCTTCAGCTGTGGCTCTCAACAAGTGCTCTTTGCTTGGTGGAAAGGAGATGAGCAGCAGCAAAGAATGATGCTGAGCTGGCTGCAGGTTATCACTGCTCGCAGGGGTCCATAGTGAAGTGGCTTTTTTTCTCATTGGTTCCTCTCCATGCAGGCACTAAGATGGTGTTTCCTTGGATCTCTTATAGTAGATACGACTTCTCTATTTGCTTTAATTCTCCAAAATTTCTGGAAATCTTTCGTAGGCTGATGTCAAATCTCCCCACCTCTTTATTCTTGGGATATAAGCCATAGGAGTGAGCCATAATGGGTGTCCAGCCCAGATGACCCACAGGATGACTGCAACAGTGTGGGCCCTAAACAAGAACCAGTCAGGTAAGTCCAGTCAACGCAGAGAAAATTGAGAGATAATTATAAAATTTTGAATTAAGGCACTGTGTTTTGGGGTCTCTTTGTTATGTAAGAGGTAATAAGCAGGAAAGGAATAAGACCCCAATTTAAAGTCTGTGGGCAGTTGCATGCTGAAGCTATCTTTGGTTACTTTGTTGTTAATCTTGTTAATCTTTTGCCCATTTGGGGGTTTGCAATGGGCTTTTGCATAGAATGGAAATGCCCAGCTTGCCAGTGCACATCACTGTCCATATTCAAGAGCAAATTGCTGCCTACAGAATATGAATCAAGATGCCCAAGTCAAAGACACTTTCCTTCAACTCAAGAAGAAAGCAGGGCATGTTGTGCATGCCTGTAATCCCACCAGGTCAAGAAGCTGAGGCAGTATTGTAAGTTTGAGCCCAGCCTGGGCAACACAGCCAAACCCTTTCTGAAAAATTAAACATAATAAAAATAATAAAGGGCTGAGTTATACAGCTTGGATGTGTAGCAGTTGCCTAGCAAGTATGAAGCCCTGGGTTCAATCCCAAGTACTTGGGAAGGGGACTGTTGGAAGGAAAAAAAAAAATCTTTGCTATAGTTTTTTTTTTTTTTAATTTGTTCTAATTAGTTACACATAACAGTAGAATGCATATTTACACACACACACACACACATATGGAGTATAACTTCTCTTTCCTCTGGTTGTATTGAACATGGTGTAGAATCTCACTGGTCATGTAATCATATATATTCATAGGGTAATAAGGTCCAATTCATTCTACTGCTACACCTTTACCCCCTCCACTCCCTTCATTCCCCTCTGCCTGATCCACAGTACCTCTATTCTTCCCTAGCTCTGCCCCCTTATTGTAAATTACCATCTACTTATCAGAGAAAACAATTGGCCTTTGGTGTGGGAGGCCGTCATGTCACGTAACCAGCATTTTCCCCTCCTGATTGGTTGAGCACAGTCGGTCATTCCCCTCCACACCCTACCCCATGATCTGGCTTCTCTTAAGTTGCTGAAGACGGTGGCCCGATCTTTAGGGTAGTAAAAATGCAGCCAAATGTGTCTTCATGCGTTGGCATGCCTTCCTGCAGCCCCATGGGTCAAGCTACGCTCACCTGTTCCTTTGTAATATAACCCCTTTGCCCTGTTTGGGATAGAATGTTCCATGGAAACGCCCTTTGTGGGTCCCCTTCTCTGACTCTGTCCTTGGGTGTGGCCTTCCTAGATGTCAGTCAACCTGCTGACAGCAGACACCATGAAGCTAGCTAGACAGCCCCTTGAAACCTGACCTCTTGCCTCATTTGAATGGCTTCTCCTCAATAAAAGGGGTCAGCGTGTGCTCATTCTCTCTCTTTCTGCGGACCCTTAAGGTCAGAGGAGCCTTTACAACATCCCCCAAAGAAAAAGGTATTTCTGTCTCTTGTGTGGTTATTTCGCACAGCCCAGTTCCCCTGGAATGACCCTGAGTGTTTTAGTCGAAAGCAATGCAGCACTTTGGGTTTTTTTGGAATTGGTTTATTTTGCCTACCATGATATTCTCCAGCCCATCCATTTACCTGCTAATGCAATAATTTCATTCATCTTTAAGGCTGAGTAATATTCCATTGTGTTTAAATACCACATTTTCTTTATCTATTCCTCTGTTGAAGGACATCTAGGTTGGTTCCAAGTTTAGTTGTTGTGAATTGAGCTGCTTATAAACATTGATGTGGCTGAATCACTATAGTATGCTGATTTTAAGTCCTTTGGGTATAAAGGAGGAATGGGATAGCTGGGTCAAATGGTGGTTCCATTCCAGGTTTTTTGAGGAATCCCCATACTGCTTTCAATAGTGATTGCACCAATTTGCAGTCCCACCAGCAATGTATGAGTGTACCTTTTCCCCCACATCCTCGATAACACTTACTGTTGCTTGTATTCTTGATAATTGCCACTCTGGAGTGAGAAAATAATCTTAGAGAAGTTTTGATTTGCATTTTTCTAATAGTTAGAGATGAACATTTTTTCATATGTTTGTTGATCAATTGTGTTTCTTCTTCTGTGAAGTGTCTGTTCAGTTGTTTAGCTCATTTGTTGATGGGGTTATTTGGCTTTTTTGGTGTTAAGTTTTTTTGAGTTCTTTATATATCCTGGAGATTAGTGCTCTTTCTGAGATGAGTGTGGTAAAGATTTTCTCCCATTCTGTAGGCTCTCTCTTCACATTATTGATTGTTTCATTTGCTGAGAAGAAGCTTTTTAGTTTGATTCCACCCCATTTATTGATTCTTGATTTTACTGCTTATGCTTTAGGAGTCTGGTTAAGGAAGTCAGTTCCCAAGCCGACAGTGGTGGAGATTGGTGCCTTAGGGTAGCTTAAGTCCTGAGATGCCTTGATACACATTCCAGTGGAACCATCAAGCAGCAATGGGCCTTTGAGATCCAAGTTCAGAGGTGCATAGCTGGAGGTAGGAATGTGAGAGTCACCAACATTTACAAAGCCATGAAATCGGATGAGAAGCTCAAGGGATGAGGGGAGACAGGAACAGACAAATGAAAGTCTTAGGTAGAGGTCAGGCAAAGGGAAACCAGCAGAAGAAACAAGGAAGGCATGGGGAGACCAGAGAGGGGTGTCCTGGAAGTGGGGTGCATTAAGCATCTGAAGGGACAGGGGTGAGCAGCTGCAGCAGATGCTGCTGAGGGGCTGAGAAATAGTCAGGACTGAGTGTTGACTGGTGCATTTAACCACTTACAGGCCATCAACCTTGGTGAGAATAGTTTTGGGGTTGTTTCTGGGACCAAAGCGTCTTTGGAATGTATGTGGGAGAGAATGAGAATGTCTGAGTCAGAGACAGTGAGGATAGAGAACTCTCCTGAAATACACAAAGGGGAGCAAAGAGTTGGGGCTTCAGAGAAGGTGGTTATGAGTTGTCATTTTTAATGGAAGAAGGAGCTGAATTTTTACAAGCTGATAAGTATGAGCCAAAGGAGTGCGACAGATGATGGTGCAAGCAGGGAGGGAGGATTGCTGGAACAGGGTCTTCTAAAAGGCAGGAGTGGGTGGGGAGTAGTGTGTAAGGGAGTAATGAGAAATCTCTGAGACCAGTACTCTGTGAGAAGACAGCTTCCATGGGATCCTACCACCAGGTGCATCTGCACCCTGCATTTGGCCTGTGCTAAGCCATGAGTCAGAGAGTAACTTTGTACACAGAAATACTCCAAAATTAACTCTAATTCTCATTGCCTCTTTCCTGCTGAACAACACTGGTCTCAGTGAAAAAGAAACTAGATCATCAGTTGAGAGGAAATGTGTGGACAACTCATGGAGACACGAGAAGAGAAGACATCAATGGTTTCTGGGTCTTGCACGTTAAGTCTTGGAACATGAAGACAATAATGTTATTATTTTGGTGTTGGGGATGGAACCCAGGGCCTCAAGCATGTTAAGCATGCTCTACTAGTGAGCTACATCCCCAGGTCAGGAAGGAAATCTTTAGTCTCACACCCCTCAATGGGATTTTCTGTTCCTGGTTTACAGGGATGTGAACACCTCCATCGTGGAGCTCCTGATTATGGTGTACGCGTGTAAGACCTCTTGTGCCAAGAGCATCATTGGCGTGATCCCCTGCTTTCCTTACAGCACATAGAGCAAGATGAGGAAAAGAGGCTCCATCATCTCTAAATTCTTGGCCTCCATGATGTGCAAAGCTGGTAAGAAAGGTAGATCCTTGACAACTGACTGGGAGCTTGGGAGTTTATTTTTACAGAAATCATTTCAAAGCATTCTCTTAAGCAAATGAGAATGCTGAACCGAGGAAAAACAGTGATGCTGCTTTTAAACCCCACTAGTTTGTGCAGTCCATCCTTCTCCACAAGAGAGATGTGCCTCGACACCCAGTGTCACTGAAACAGTGAGTGCTAGTAAACTCTATAGGCGCACTGCAGTACTGGGACAGCAGATCTCACAGCTGATATGGCTACCAAGTGACTTCAGGTGGATAACATAGATAGCATAGATACACTGGATAATGGGATGACGTACCTCCTTAGAAGGACAAAGCTGGATATCATGAGATTTCATAGTGCTACTCAGAATGATGTGCAGTTTAAAATTTATTAATTGTTTATTTTTGGAATTTTCCATATAATCTTTTGGACCAAAGGTAACTAAACTCTCAGAAAGCAAAGCCACAGGTAAAGGGTGGGATTGGGGGACTAGTAAAATTAGAAATTCTACAGAGAATTCTGTTTCCAACTCCCTCAACATGGAGATAATGAGAACAATTTTGTTTTCATTTTTTTCCTGAACAGTTTGTTTCAATTTAAATTTATATTGAAATAACAATTTACAATCATGTTAAAGTTGTTTTGAAGCATAACAGTCATTCTGAATCCTGATTTTGCTTTAACATGGCAACTATTTGTGTGTTGGCCTCTTCCCTTTCCAGGACAGAGAGGCATATTTTGTAAATCATATGTATTGTTTTGTGTTATGCTTTCTTGGGTAGCATCCTCATTATTCCCCTTGTTTTTAAATGTCCTACATAATTTCCATTGTGAATGGATGTTTGTACATGTGCCAACATTCACATATGTCCATGAGTGTGCTTGTGGGTATATGATTATAAGGTAGTTATCGCAGAGCATTTGCACAAAGAGGAAGGAAATTGAAAATCCCCTAATCCGTGCATTTTAACACAGACACTTATCATAGAATATATTTTCCAGTGCATCATTCCAAAGAAGGCAAAAATTAAACAAACCCCAGGGACCTCAGCAGCATCTCTCCTTGAAAACACTGTAACAGTCACTGGAAAAGAGGGCAAGGGCTCCTCACTGAGTCTTTTGAAATGTTTCCACCATTCTCTTCCAACCTTCCACTTGGAGGGATCACTAGGCTTACTTTTCTTGAATTAAGCTGTAAATTGAGCTGCTATAAACATTGATGTGGCTGCATCACTATACTATGCTGATTTTAAGTCCTTTGGGTATAAACCATGAAATGTGATAGCTGGGTCAGATGGTGGTTCCATTCCCAGTTTTCCAAGGAATCTCCTATACTACTTTCCATATTGGTTGCACCAATTTGCAGTCCCACTAACAGGGTATGAGTGTGCCTTAGGCTCCCAATGCCTGCCACGTCCTTATGCTTAAGATTCCACCACTGGCTGCTTTCTTAGGACTCCTCCTTGAAAACAATGGCACTTCTCCTTAACCGAGAAGCCACATCTCATCCTGAGCTCCTGGGCCCAAGTTCCACTAATCGTCTTGTTATAAGAGAGCAGTGGGATAACTCAGGCCATCACAGACGTCCTAGATCACTTGTCCAAATAGAAGAAATATATCAATGAGAGCCTGTTGGGTAGTCACAGAATCAACACAGGAGTTATCGGTGTGGCCCCAGGTGTGAGGGTCAGACACAGGTGCTTCACCTAGATAGGCAGGATCCACCAGGGGAAAGGCAGCTTGTCTGGCAGGACTTGGATCCTAATCTTCCTCAACATTTGCTGAGCCCTCTTCTGTCTGAGTTCTTCCCTGTTGTTTCTCACAGGGGGCTCTGGCCTGACCCAGTTTCACTGGAGGATGGCCATGAGTGGAGCAGAACCACTTCCTTCCTGTCCTCATCTTATACCAATCACAGTAATCAACCTTTTCTTCTGTGTTAGCATCTTCTGGACAGAGATTATCCCCCAAGTTCCCTCCCCAGTGGAAGTCCTGGCTCACACTTTTGGAAGACAGGTGAAGTAGGAATTAGAGACCATGGGATGACCATTGGAGCAAATGGGAGGTCATCATGGCTGATGGTGCCCCCCAAGGGCTCTGGGGTAGGCTTGGTGATACTTTACCAGCAATGGCATGGTTGTGGGGACCTCCCTGCAGGCCTGGGAACACAGCGGAATTGATGAGAGACTCCAGGTTGTACAGAATCTCTTTGCCGGTCTTGGGATCCACACTGCACACTCCTGGGTAAAAAATACCATCAAAATGCAGTCCTATAGGCTGAGCCCTTCATCTTCTCCCTAGGGACTCAATGGTGTAGTATGCACCTTGACTTCTGGCGTGAAGTCAGCCTTACAGCTGCTTTGTAAGGCTATGCAGCAGAGGAAGCCCTTGCTGCTGCCCCCCCTTTATTTTTTATTTATTTATTTGTTTGTTTGTTTGTTTATTTTTGATTGAACCACTGAACTACATCCTCAGCATTTTTTTAATATTTATTTCTTAGTTGGACACAATATCATCTTTATTTTATTTATTTATTTTTATGTGGTGCCAAAATTCGAACCCAGGGCCTCACACATGCTAGGCGAGCGCTCTACCACTGGGCCACAACCCCCAGCCCATCCTCAGCATTTTTAATTTAGAGAAGGACCTCACCAAGTTAGTGATGCTGGCCATGAACTTGAGATCCTCCCACCTCAGCCTTCTGAGTTGCTGGGATTTTTTGGAAACAGGACATCATGGATGGGTCACTGAATGGAACCCTAGCTTCAGCACCTCCATTGTACACCTGTCACCTATGATGGCTTCTTTTCTTCATAACACCTGACGATAATGAAGCCTTAAAGTGGAAAGAAACAGAAATTTCCCTCCCGAGACTGTAACAAAGCACATGCCTTTGGCATTTCTTTAAATATGACTAGGAAGGCGACTTAACAGAGATAATGCTCAGAAGGCTACTCATGGGGAAGTTTTCTTTCTGAGAAAATATTCACACAGTAATAACTTAATAATTACTATTCAAAAATAAGTAATACTAGAGCTGGGGTTATGGCTCAGTGGTAGAGCACTCACCTCGCACGTGCAAGGCTCTGGGTTTGATCCTCAGCACCACATCAAAATAAATAAATAAATAAACACATAAAATAAAGTTATTGTGTCCAACTACATCTACAAAAAAAATTTTTTTAAGTAAGTGATACTAACACCTCTACGGAGCTGTTGCTTTTTCTTTTTTCTTTTTCTTTTTGCTGCTCATAGGGATAGAACCCAGGGCCTCATGCATGCCAGGCAAACACTCTACCATTGAGCCACATCCACAATCCTATTTGGAATATCTTGGGATCCAACAACTACTCTGAGCACTTTGTGCAAATTCATTCAATCTCCTGAATAGCAGTCCAGTGAGACAGGTGCTATTACTCCAGTCCCCACTCCAGAAGTGAAGAAATGAAGCACCAAGAAGCTGCACAGGCAGCCTGGGACCATGGTGTGTGGGAGAGCCAGGATCTGCTTTTGTCCTCTGGCTCCTGTCAGCCAGCAGAGGGTCTAATGAATCACATTAACATACAATGGCAGAAATAAAAGGCCTCCTAGGCAGGTGGGACAGGTCACCTGACTCAAAAGCATCAACCCCACTGAAGATGGACCTCAATGGAGCACAGGGACAAGAGAGCGCTGGGAAACTGCGTGGGCACCTCGTTGGGTCAAGTCCTGGCTGGGGCAGGGCGAGGAGACCCTGCCCAGGAGTAAGAGTAATGCAGCTATCGAGGGCGGGTTTCTCTGCTCATGTGAGGCTGGAGCACAGATGTCATCACAGGCTGGCTAACCAAGGACCTGACCGCTCAAGTGGTTTCCCAGGTATGGGAATCTAAAAATAAGGGGCACAAGGCTTAGAGATGGGCTATAAGGTACAGGAAAGAGAAATTCCCCACTAAAATGATAAAACTTGCATTAAGGTTCATGCACCGAGCGTCTGCATCATTCCAACACACAGCAGTTGCTGATCCCCTCCCTGTTTTCCTAGCACTTGGATGCATAGGAATGGGGGCCACAATTCTCGCTCAGGACTTCCTTGTAGGTCCTTTCCATAAAGGCTATCACCATAAAGACCTGAGTAGGGCTGGACATTGACCCTCCCAGCCCTGTGGGTCCCGATGATAGGCCTGCAGAACCCACTTCTGACAGAGTGTTTCCACTTCATCAATAAACTCAGTCCTACCATAATACCTGTGGGAGAGAAGCAGGAGCCCACATCCACTTTTTTTTTGTGGGGGAAGCTCTGGAAGACCAACCTTGCACGTGACTGAGTCACGCTCCCCAGCTGGGTGCTGAGGTGCTCAGTCTCAGAAATGTGGCAGAGCTTTCCCCACCCTTCTTGGGTTGGAGGTCGGTGTCTCGTACATGGGTGTGTCTTGCTACAGCCCCATGGGTGGAGCTACGATCACCTGCTCCTTTGTAATATTACCTGTTGCCCTGTTTAGGATAGAATGTTCTATGGAAGTGCCTTGTGTGTGTCCCCTTCTCTTACTGTGCCCTTGGGTGTGGCCTACCCAGGTGTCAGTCAACCTGCTAACAGTGGACATCATGAAGATAGACTCAGCCCCTCGAAACCTGACTCCTTGCCTCATTTGAATGCCTTCTCCTCAATAAAAGGGGTCAGCTCGTGTTCTCTCTCTCTCTCTCTCTCTCTCTCTCTCTCTCTCTCTCTCTCTCTCTCTCTTCCTGTGGACCCTTAAGGTCAGAGGAGCCATCATAGCCACCCCAAAGAAAAAAGTATTTGTGTCTCTTGTGTGGTTATTTCACACAGTCTAATTAACCCAGTTCAACTGGACTGACCCCTGAGCCTTTTAGTCGAGAACAGAAACCCAGTAGGGGCCCCAACTTTTGCACCTAGCAGAGGTCAAAGCTTAGAGGTAGGAAGAAGTGAGGGGAAGTGAGCAACTCTCAGCTTCCCCATCTTGTCCTATAAGGTTGTAGGAGGATCCAATGAG